CTCCCCGACATTCCAAATGGACTAAATCCATCTGTGCATAATCCAAGATACACATTATGGCTATTGCTAGCGAAGTCTGGATGTACTTTGTTAAAATGTTTCCAAACTCTTGCATCTGATGGATGAGTCATCTCATCCTTCGTCTGAGTATGCTCGGCATGCCATCTCATCCCTCCAGCAGTCTCCTTATATTGGTACAATCTTTTCAATATGTCTGTAATTGGTAGATACCACATCCTTTGGTATGGTACCTTATTACGCCCTCGTCCTTTTGGTTTGAATCGTGGCTTCTTGCAGAATCGACATTCTTCTAATTTCTCATCATCTCCCCAGTAAATCATGCAATTGTCGATGCAAACGTCTATCGTCTCTGAAGGCAACCCAAGACTAGAAACTAATTTATGAATCTCATAATAAGAATCAGTAGACACATTGTCTTCCGGCAAATACTCTTTAAACAAGTCTGCCCATGCATCCATGCAATTTTTAGATAGATTGTGATCGGTTTTAATATTCATCATTCTAGCAGCCAAGGAAAGTTTCGAAGGTCTCTACAACCACTGTAAATTGGCTGATTCGCAGCATCTAACATTTCATCAAACTTTTTTGCATCTATGTTAGGTTCTTCTTCATCACGAGCTACAAATGCAAATGATCAACCGTTTTCATTCTGCAAATGATCAACCGACCTGAAAATTGCTATTATTACTGCTACTTTCATTCTCACAACTATAACCTTCTCCATGTTGAAACAAAATATAGTAATATGGCATGAAACCTCTATTTACTAAATGCTTCCAAAAATTTTCACAAGGACCTTATTTTGAATTGTTGCATTTCCGACAAGGACATAACATCTTACCGCTTTCCTGCGTGAGCGGTGTAGAATCTGCTTGATGCATAAATGTCTCCAGCCCTTTGAGAAAATCTTTCGTCACCCTCCCGTTACCATCTCTATGTGTATACATCCCCCTTCGACTCTTAAAAATATTTCTATCACCGTACATTTTTTTCCTTTCACTTTATCAAGTTTTTCTCTCTCTTTTACGTTTTCAGCTTTTTAGTGTGTTTAATTTGAAACCGAAATGACATATTTATAGAAAATTTTGAAAGTTGGTAGGTAAGATTTTACCTAGAATTTACGAGAAAACATAGAACACTACAAACACGTTTACAATTAAAAAGTTGTTAGACTCGTTATTTCATCGTTAAAGTATTTCCTCGTAAAGAACACGCACTATTAACGAGTATTTTACGAGGAAACAAGTCTGCCACGTACTTTCCTCGCTAATGAACATCTTCTTTACGAGGAAATCAGTTTCTCATGATTTAACGACGAATCCTCGTAAAATACTCGTTAACCCACGTAAATTTACGAGAACCTTGTTTCCTCGTTAATTTTTGTGGTTAAAAACTTATTTTCTTGTAGTGATCAGATAATATACATATAATTGTAAAAAAAAATTGATTTGTTATTCATTTAAAATGCATATTAAGCTTCTTATTTCATATTTTAACAAAATTTGCATCCAAAATTCAAAAATAACAACCAAAATAATGATTTTTATTTTCAAACTTATTAATCCTCTAACTTATTAAACATTTAAAGACAGTTAAGTTAATAGTTAAATTTTAAATACATGAAACTTAAGTAACGAAAAATTTGAAATTTTTCTTATAAAATCTAAATATCCGAATCCGATCCGAAATAACCGAACCGAATTGAAAATATCCAAACCCGATCCGGTATGTAAAAATACCCGAATGAGTCCTAAATCTCAATACCAAAATACCCAAAAACTCGAAATACTCGATCCGAACCGAACGGATACCCGAACGTCCGCCTTTATTGGTAGTTATGCAATGCATTAATGTATGCATAAAATACTGTTTTATTCTTTCTTTCTACATTCACTAGTGTAAACAAAACGTATTTATCTGGATAGAATATACATACATTATCAAGATTGAAATGTTTATTCAAGAGCTATGTGTACCACACTGATAGAGGACACTAGCTGGTTTTCACATCCCAGGTGTTGCTAATCGAACTTGCTAATCCACTACAAAGCTATCTTATAACTATTTTAACTCTATTTTAATTAAAGTAACTTTTTAATCAATACCCATTATTACCATTTTCTATTATATTTTCCATTAGCGCTTAAACAAGACTGTCTTCTTTTCCATTAGCGCTATTTTAACCTTCTTTTTTCTAGTGGGATACAAACAAGATCAATCAAATTTTCTTTTTTTGAAAAATGGATAAATCAAATTTTGAGTGTATGAATTGGATCAATACGTTTCGAGCATTAGAATTGTCCTTTGTAGTGGTTAATGTAATAATGTGCGCGTGAATCTTCGCGATATTAAACGATTTTTATTATTTCTGTTTTGAGTAGATAAGGTTATAATGCAATTAAGAATTTTGGTGATTCAATACCAGGAAAATGGTCTATTTCAGCATAAACTCTATCCTTATTCCACAAATTATATAAACTCTCAAAATCGTAATTATATATATTGACCATTAATTAAATGTATTACTCAACAATTAATTATTAAAACAATATAAGTTTAGCAAAATTGTATAAGATTAAAAATTAGTTATTTGTGAAGTTCAACTCGCGTACTGATAGACAAGTAACCTTATTTAACTGCTAGACCAAAGTAAATTTTTATTAATGGTGTAAACAATAGCTTAGTTTTATCAAATAAATGTTATCAAAATTTATTGTTTTAGTCTTATCAAATAAATCTACAATTATTTAATTTTAAATTTAACTTTAAAAGTTCTTATTTTATAAATATAAATTAGATAATATTAGTTTAAATATTTATTTTTATAATATTAATAAAACTGAAGTATATTTTAAAGTTTATATTTTTGGTTTTATATGTATAGTTTAAATATAAAATAAAGCTAATTTAAAAAAAATGTTTAAATTCTAAAGTTAAATTTATTTTAAAATTTAACTTTATACATATAAAACAACAAAAATCGAAATTTCACAATTATTTTAATTTTTAATAATATTGTAAAATAAATACATAAATTAATAATAATTCATATCTCTGATATAAGTTAAATTGTTTTTTTCTGTATTAGATAAATATGATAATTAGCTCACAGTTAGATTGGGCCCTTTTCTGTATTAGATTAGAGAAACTATTTATTAATAAGTTAGATCAAAGAAGCTAATCAATTTCAGAAAATTTAAATTTATTTTTAAATTTTATACACACAAAAAATTAAAAAATGTACAATATATTTCCAGTTTTAGTAATATTTCAAAATAAATATTTAAATAAATATTAGTTATTAAATTTACAATACGAGGATTTGTAAAGTTAAATTTATAAAAATAAATAATTATACTTTAATATGATAAGATAAAAATAATAAAAATTTGATAATATTTATTTGATAAACTAAAACTTATACATGAGTTAATGTTTATACCATTAATACAAGAAAATCAATTTGATCCAGTGGTTAAAATGCTCTTGCTCGTTTATAAGTGTGCGAGTCTGAGCTTCACAATTAATATTACGTCCATATGTACAAATAGAATTTTGAGAATTTATGTAATTTTTAGAATTTTTGTTTAATTCAGTATTATTTATTATTACAAAATATACAGAGAAAAGACACAATGGGTAAAACATAGGCCGATATATTAGCATATGCGTTGGGAATTGTGATAGAATGGTTGCTGATAGGTTGTCGAAGCAAATAACTTGTGTGGTGTATTATCTAATGTTACGTTATGTGTGCACTTCTTTTATAATAAATGTCGTTTTAGACTTCGACACACATTAAGGAAATAATAAATTTTGTATATTTTTCATATAAAATACATAATTACCTATATACCTAACCTTATATCAACCAATAAAAAAATAAATTACAAAATAAAATTAATAAATTTTGCAATGAAAACCGAAAACGACACTTAACTTGTAATAAAAAAAATTCTCTAAAACGACATTTAATAAGAAACGGAAGGAGTAATAAACTTAAGTGTGTGGAAGATCTTTTATATACAAATTTATTATATTAAAACGGAAGGAGTATTTTTATTTTTTCTTTGAAATATGAATAAACATTTTTAAGAAAATTCTAACAAAATGTTTTTAAATTTTTTAGAATCTTTTCAAGATAAATTTTTGAAAATTATTTGATTACAATTTAAATTATCATAAAATTTAATTAAAATTTAATTTTTTATTATAAAAAAATTAAAATTATGTAAAATACTTTTAATACTATCCCAATATTTTTTTATGTATTATGTAGATTCAACTTAATTTACCTTTTACATATATTTAGAAATAAAACAAAATATATAAATTGATAATGTTACATGATGTTTTTAAAACAACTGTTACAACAATACAAATTTTATATTAATAATATTATAAACTACATAAACATTATTATACAATTAAATAGTATATAACTTCAAATATGTTTATTTATTGATAAATTGTATTATATAATTTAAATATTTTAATATTAAAATACCTATACACTTGTGCGGATCCAGATTTAGTAACTATTAAATCTCTACACACGTCTCTCTAGGAATGCCATATGTATAATGTCATATGACTCACCCCCATCACCTTTCCAGGCTCATTTTTACTTCATAAAACTTCAGCCGTGTGTGATGAATGACGATTATGTGATATTCGAAAATTAGATAAAATTGATTGTGTTTGAAAATTTAATAGATTTTTATAATTAAGCTTATTCTCTATAAATTAAAAACTTTTAACAAGTTATATCATTGCGAGTTTTTTTTTATAAAAAAATATGTAATAATATTAATCGTAGAAAATTTTTTAGGAATTAAAATGTTAAAATTACCAAATTTCCCGAACTAGTGATCAAATTTAGAATGTCCCAAACTTGTGATTATTATTTTAAACTGAACACCAAGACATGTTATTATATATATACTGATATACGCATGATAACCTTCCTAGCCACGTACCTCGCATTCCATAATCTTTGTTCTTCTGGCCAGTGAAAATGGGTGATAAACTTCGATTATCCATTGGAATCTTGGGTAATTTTCTTTTTAATTTTTTATGGAAGAATATATATATTTAATACATTCCAATTCCCTTGAAACAAGTAACTTTCGGTCTAACATTTGTCGGAAATTGTTTCTTTTTGTTTGTCACATAATATCTACCAGAAACAAATCTGTATGAGTTTTTATTGTTGAAAACTTATGTATGAACTCTACACAGGAAACGGAGCTTCCTTGCTGCTCTACACAGCTCCAATGTACGTAGCAGAAAAAAGCAAATAGAAATTTTAACTTCAATTAACCAACAAAGTAAACTATAACTTTTTTATGTTCAATTGGTATGTAGACTAACATTTTCAAGGGTGTTTAAAAAGAAAAGCACAGAGGAATTCTCATGTTTTCCCTACCTTATGACACTCTTCAACTGTTTGATTTACACTTGGTACGGTTTACCGATTGTGAGTCATCTTTGGGAGAATCTTCCTCTTGTCACCATTAATGGACTCGGCATCCTTCTCCAATCAATCTTCATTTTCATATATTTTTTCTACGCGTCGCCGAAAGAAAAGGTAGTCCACTCATTATGTAAAATATGATACCTCTTTTTATTTGGAGAAAGTCTAATAGTGAAATTGATCTATTCATGCATTTTCATTAATTAGGTTAAGGTTGGTGTTTTATTTGTTCCGGTGATTTTTGTGTTCGGGATAGTGGCTGCAATCTCAGCCGTATTGTTTGACGACAACCCTCACCGGAAATCTTTCGTTGGAAGCGTCGGTCTCGTGGCATCTGTCTCCATGTATGGTTCTCCTCTCGTCGTTATGGTAAGCTATACATATATATATATATATATATTAATATTAACTACAGATATTAGAAAGATCAGTCAAAAAAAAAAGTACAGATACTAGTTATAGAGGAATATATACTTATGGATTAAGCTAAATAATGTCAATGTGTGTGCAGAAAAAAGTGATAGAGACAAAAAGTGTGGAGTACATGCCATTTTACTTGTCATTCTTTTCATTTTTGGCTAGTTCCCTTTGGTTGGCCTATGGTTTACTCAGCCATGATCTCTTTCTTGCGGTTCGTTTTTCTAGTTCACTCTCTTTCTTCGGTTTGTTTTCTTACTTTAACATAGTTGAACTGGCCCTCTTCGAATATAAAGAGCGCTTAATAGTTTGAGATGGTTATAAGAACTCAAAGAAAGTCCATTACAAATGTTTGTGTGAATATATGCAATAAACTGTTGAGATGGTCTTGTGTATGATATTGAAGATGATGTTGATTGATTTTTACACATGTATAGGCACCTAATATGGTGGGGGCTCCACTGGGTATTCTCCAACTTATCCTCTACTTTAAGTACAATAAGAAGAAGGATAAACCGATTACAACAATTGTGATGAGCAAATGGGATGATGAGAAGAATAAGAGCACACTTGAGCTTGTAGTTGATGTTGATCATGATGGTGATGCCAGTGACAAGAAGTTCAACAACGCATGTTAATTACTTTTTGTGTAAACTTGAAGGTTTCGTGGGGTGGTGATTATTTCATTACATGATGTTTCATCTCTGTTGTGGATCATGTGCATAAAACAAGAGTTTTTGTTCTGGACGACAAAATATCCAATGTGTCTACAATAAGGAGCAAAAGAAAACCCAAACATTTCTTACTTTGGTGTTGAGAAAAAGGTTTCAAACTTTACTTAGAGAAAACACTAATTTGTTGATCAAAAAAAGGAAAAGAATAACACTAGTTTTATACCTTTTGCTGAGATCGGTACGTGGCGTGAATTAAGTGATATGTAGGTTACAAAAACGATAGAAGCAATGCATAAACCCGGCTGTTGTGCCTCCCCAACAACAACCCAGCCAGAATCCATATACGGAAGAAGGTGACGATCCTTGCATGGATGGCAGAACAGTCGATGAATCAAGGTCCTGCAGGTTATATTATATGCCTCCTCCATATCATTATGCTGGTCTTTCAATGCATTAGAGAGAGTTCCTTTTCAAAGTTGGAAGACAAAGTTGCCCTTTGCATGTACCTTTGTTTTCGTATGGTAAAAAATACACAGATGAATAGATTGGGTAGTTTAGGATCCCTCTCAATGTTCCTAGGGAATACTACTTTTTATTGGTTTTATGTTGGATTTAAAATTTATTGTGATTGTAATCATGCATTCACAAAGTTGCCCTTGTTAAGCCCGTCTCTTACCTCCTGTTTAGAATAAAGTCCTGTTTAGTTTAGTTCTTTTTGTCTGGTTTTGTTGATGGAACACACACTTGTACTCGTATCCAAAAAAAAAACCATTCCGTATTATCACCAAACATCATTTTGCCCATCTTAGAAAAATGTCTAAGATGAACCTTAATCTCTGTCTCACTCACTAATGTTTTTAAAAATCATCTGATTATCGGCCAACATCTTAGTAAAATTGGGAATTTGGATAAGTTTTTTTTTGGTTGACTCTACAAGTTAGATTTTGCAATAAGGGAGACAAAAAAAAAGAAGGATCTTGTGGTTCCCAAGTCTCCAAGTAAACTCTCATCTCTCTTTGTCTGAATAAAAAAAAAAAGGAGAGGAGGAAGAAGAAGAGAAGAAGATAAGGGAGGAAGAGATAATTCAAAAAAACCCTAAACCAACAAACTCCAATGTCTTCCTCCACTCTCCAAGCCTCTCTTCTCCTTCGTTCTCCTCCTCTTCATTCTTCTTCCTTCAAACCTCATCGTCCTTTTTCTCTACGTTTCAATCCTCAATCTCTCTCCAGTTTCTACCGTCTCTCTTCAGTTCTTCAATTTCACCCCCTTCCTTGCTCACTCCGCCAAGACAATGTCGCTTCCGATTCCGATTTCCTTCCCAAGGACTCCGGCGAGGTTACGGATTCTACAGAGAGTAGATTGGTTCAGGAACCAGAGACGAGCTATGGAGAAGAAGACTCAAAGGAGAAGGAGAAGAAGAAGAAGAAGTTTCAGATAGTGGTGTTGGTGATGGGAGTATGGGCAGCCATAAAGAGAGCTATAGAGAAGCTTATGGAATGGGAGTGGCTCACCTGGTGGCCTTTCTCTCGCCAAGAGAAGCGTCTCCAGAAACTCATCGCAGAGGCTGATGCTAATCCCAAGGATGCTGCTTTGCAAGGAGCTTTATTAGCTGAGCTCAACAAGCACATGTATGATGTTTCATTGATTTGGTTTGTAGTTGAATTTAATCTGGTAATAAGTTTTTGTTGTTTGTTTCAGTCCTGAGGCTGTAGTTCAACGGTTTGAACAAAGGGAACACGCAGTGGATAGTAGAGGAGTTGCTGAATACATTCGAGCTCTTGTTATTACTAATGCTATTGCTGAGTATCTTCCTGATGACCAAACCGGGAAGCCATCTACTCTTCCCACACTGGTACATTAGCTCTGCTTCTACTTTGGTCTCTTTACTCGATTTGTTCTAGGTGTCTTTGTTTCTAAACTCTTTTTTTTTTCTTTTTTTTTGCTTTATATGTGAATCATTGGTTGATGTATAGCTGCAAGAGCTGAAGCATCGTGCATCAGGGGATATGGACGAATCATTTGTGAACCCTGGTATATCTGAGAGGCAACCATTGCATGTCACCATGGTAAGTTCAACTTATATTATGCATTTGGTAGAAGTATACTTAAGCGTGGATTTTCATTTGGTAAATCTTATTAAGTTCTTAACATGCGTTTTTTTTTCGCTTTGTTAGGTTAATCCGAAAGTTTCAAATAAATCCAGATTTGCTCAAGAGCTTGTCTCTACGATCTTGTTCACAGTTGCTGTGGGAGTTGTGTGGTATTTGTCATCTTTATTTTAGTTGTATCACTATCAAGTTCATACTATAATAGATAGCACCCGGTGGAGATGAAATGTTGCTTCTTGTGCATAGTTGAGCAAGTTATTACTTCTCCAATTTATTACTGTGCTCCTATAACAGTTAAAGTCTCTTGTTTAGGTTAATGGGTGCAGCTGCTCTGCAAAAGTATATTGGGAGCCTGGGAGGGATTGGAACTTCGGGTGTTGGTTCAAGTTCTTCATATTCCACAAAAGAGGTTAACAAAGAAATAACGCCAGAAAAGGTAGACTTTCGACTAAAGTTGACGATTAATGTTCTCGCTATTCACAAGGATTCTAAAGTAGTTGAGTTAGAACTGTGAGGAAATGCGTAGCTTTAGTTACAGTAGCCAAACGTATGGTAAGAGACATCTTTCAAAGTAGTTGCAGTTGCATGATACGATCTTTCATATCTGAGACGAGTATTGTCTTTTTGAATCCTGGATCCTCTCTGTGATAATGCTAGTTTTTACCCAGTGAACATTTTAATAGTTCTGTTCATGTAAGCATTGAACGTAAAGAATATCGGAGAGGGACGTGACTGTATCTTATCCTGACACGTGACAAGTTCGATTGCTGCAGAATGTCAAGACATTTAAGGATGTGAAGGGTTGTGATGATGCAAAACAAGAGCTTGAGGAGGTGGTAGAGTATCTTAAAAATCCATCAAAGTTTACCCGTCTTGGAGGAAAGTTGCCAAAGGTATAATCTCTTTATGTTTGGTTATTAAATCTTCTCGATTGCATATTACTTGGCACTTTGTTTTTCCCCATTTACTTATATTGAAAGTAAGCATTATGACTTGAGGCATATCTTAAATGTTTGCTTACAGGGTATTCTTCTTACGGGGGCACCTGGTACTGGAAAGACATTGCTGGCTAAAGTAAGGTCTCAGTGAGCAAATTTTCGTCTCTTGTTGAATGGCATAGTTAGTTAGTTGCCAAACAGTCAATATTTCATTTGTGTGTGCCTTCCATTTAATCGTAGAACTTTCATTAAGCTACCATACTTTGGCAAATGCAATTAGCTGACTTAGTTATTTTTAAGGCCATTGCTGGAGAAGCTGGAGTACCCTTCTTCTATAGAGCTGGATCGGAATTTGAAGAGATGTGAGTCTTCTTCTAGTTATCAGGTGCTTCTTCAGTACTGGATAATATGACGTATAATATCATATTTTCCTTGATTGACAGGTTTGTTGGGGTAGGAGCACGGCGTGTGAGATCCTTGTTTCAGGCAGCTAAGAAAAAGGTCTTACTCTACCTGTAACTACTAATAAACTATCTTAGAAGAGTTACGTTCGTTAGGCTGGAAAGCCTCTTACCATGAGTGAAATTATATTTGTTCACAATCATGTGTTACAGGCGCCATGTATCATTTTCATTGATGAAATTGATGCTGTTGGGTCCACTAGGAAACAATGGGAAGGGCATACAAAGAAGACATTGCATCAACTACTTGTCGAAATGGATGGTTTTGAGCAGAATGAGGTAATTTTTTATGCGAGATAGTTTACCTTGTGATTACGTTTCCTAATTTCCTGCTTCATAATAGTACTTTGCTTCTTTTTTATTTTTTCGTTTTGCTCTGCAGGGAATAATAGTTATGGCTGCTACGAACTTGGCTGATATACTTGATCCGGCGCTGACAAGACCGGGTAGATTCGATAGGCATGTAAGTTATTCAACTTCTTGCGACTCTTCTCTGATTATATTAGCACCGAAGATGAGAGTTGATGCTAATTACTGGAAAATGAAGAAGTAATACCTTTCATTGTCATGATACAAACATAATTCATCTAGATTCTGCCAAAGAAATAAAAATTGCTGACATATTTGATATTAGATTGTCGTTCCAAGTCCGGATGTCCGTGGACGCCAAGAGATTTTGGAACTCTACCTCCAAGGCAAACCTATGTCAGATGATGTGGATGTTAAAGCAATTGCTCGTGGAACTCCTGGATTCAATGGTGCTGGTGAGTATCTGAAATCTATATCTACATTATGTCATTTAGTTAAGAAGATTCAGTGACCTCACCACGTTTACTTCAATCTCATCAAAACAATTTTCAGATCTTGCAAACCTGGTTAATATTGCTGCCATAAAGGCAGCTGTTGAAGGGGCTGAGAAGCTATCTGCTGAACAGTTGGAGTTCGCAAAGGACCGAATAGTTATGGGCACAGAGAGGAAGACGATGTTCGTATCAGAGGACTCGAAAAAGGTATGTCTAACACGCAGAGTATAGAAGTTTTTTGGATGTGACCTGACCTCTTATCTACTTCTTTGCCTCTTTTAGCTCACTGCCTACCATGAAAGTGGTCATGCTATTGTCGCTTTGAACACGAAAGGTGCACACCCGATCCACAAAGCGACAATAGTGCCGCGTGGATCTGCCTTGGGAATGGTTACGCAGCTACCTTCAAATGATGAAACATCAGTTAGCAAAAGGCAGTTATTAGCTCGTCTTGATGTATGTATGGGAGGAAGAGTCGCTGAGGAGCTTATCTTTGGCGAGGACCATATCACTACTGGAGCAAGTAGCGATCTCTCCCAGGCCACAGAACTTGCTCAATATATGGTAATCACTTGTGTTATAACCTTCATATGACATGACAATGCTATTTTTCCTATTTTTTATCAAGAGAGTTAGTTATAGTAATGGTTTTTGGTTTATCATGGAAGGTATCGAGCTGTGGGATGAGTGAGGCAATAGGACCAGTTCATATAAAAGAAAGACCAAGTTCTGAAATGCAGTCACGCATCGATGCAGAGGTAGGGACTCTCTTTCTTCATATTAATCTAGTTCTTCGTTCAAAACCCATTTACTCCTAAGTCTGATCATTCATTTGATGATGATGTTGATACTTATTATCAGGTTGTGAAACTTCTTCGAGAGGCATACGAGCGAGTGAAATCTCTCTTGAAACGGGTATGTTTCTGCTACTTTTCCCGCTAATCACAGTCTGTAAGAGCAAACTGTTTTGGTAAAGTCTTATCTCACTTTTTGTTCATGTGTGTTTTTTTCTCCAGCATGAGAAGCAGCTACACACGTTAGCAAACGCACTTCTGGAGTATGAAACACTAACCGCAGAGGACATAAAGCGTATTCTCCTTCCAAAACAAGAAATAGACAAGCTACAAGAGAAACAACAAGAAGAAGGAGATTTGGTATTGGCCTAGTCCACATCATTCATTATCACAAACACACCTTTTTGGGAGGGTTCAAAGCTTTTGTACAGATTATATCTCCCATAGCTTAAAATTTCGGAAGGAAACTTATCGTAGTTTTTATTCTCTGTTGTGTTTCTCTTCAAGGTTATTACAAGTTTCTCTTTATGTTTTAAGCGAAATTGGCCAATGAAATTTGTCAAGAACCCATTGATTTGTAATGATTAAATGAAAATCGAAGCATTGTTAATGGAGTTAACCTGTCCATGGTAGGGGTTCGAATATTTAAAATAATAGTAGAAAAAACTTTGGAAGTGTACCTTTTCATAACCTTTTTTATTGTAACAGTTACTTTTTACAGCTAGTGGACCTAAGAGGGTCCACAATGGCAAGTTCTTAATAATAGTTTTTAGGAAAATATTAATTTTATAATCAATGGATTCCATGAATAGTGAAAGATTCTATCCTTAAAAACCTTATTTAAGGATTGATCCTTACACTATTCGCGGGTTCCACTACCCACGTGGTCACCCGCGAATGGTCAATTTTTTTTAAAGCAAAAAGTTGAAATGTCCTTATATAATTTGAAATGCCTCCTTTTTTTCCCTAAGGACTCCCCTTAAGGATTTTTCATTGTTGGTGCTTTAAGAGCATCATCGATGGGGTGCTAAAGAGGTGCTTAGCGCTTTTCATTAGTGGGTCACGCAAGCACTTCTTAAAGTGTTTAATCAAATATCCCAAATGATTAGTTGCTTGCATTATTTACGGGTCCTACTTACACGTGGCGACCCGCGATAGGTTCGGAAATTTTTTTTTTAAAACGAAAAAAACAAAAAAAATAAATACCCCATTTGAGATGCTAGGGTTGAGGATGCTCTAATGTATGTTGCTTCCTGGATCAAGTGAAGACAAAATCGATCATTCCCATAAATGGTAGGTCCTTGTAGAGATTTTCACATCCTACAAATGCTATTGGCTCAATAAAGTTAGTATTTACAAAACAAACATAAACTTGCAAAATCATACTTATATATATATATATATATATATATTTTTTTTTTTTTTTGAGAGTTCATGTAGTATTTTTATTTATTTTTATTTAGTTTACTGTGGAATTTATAGCAATGCATATTCCACAGTAAACTAAATAAAAATATAAAAATACTACATGAACTCTCAAAATCGTCCTTATATATATAAACTATCAAATTTGGTAGTCATCCATTAATTTATCAAAACGATGTCAGTTTCGATAAGTTTTCTAAAATAGAAATTTAAAAATACTACATAAACTTTGGTACGACCTGGGTAAGCTTCAAATTAATGTTCTGGAAGCCAATGCACGTTCCAGAAAGGAAATGGGTCACAGCAAGAACTAATGGGCTTATTGGAGAGCTTATTGGCCTGATCCATGAAGTATTGGACCGAGAGAAGGCTATGGGCCTTGATGATGCCTTTATAGAGAAAGGAATGACTATGGACCAACATGAACGT